GTTTATGGCACAGAGCTGCTAAACTTGTAATTTCCTGATAGGTGTGCTGGGAACTTCTTTGTCCTACTCTTTGGTCCTGGACCCTGGTTCTGGACACAAGAGCTTCTAATAACCTGGCTTTCCAGCGTGATAAGAGTTAGAAGCTTGCAACTTTCAGTGTTAGCCACCCCCACCCCAATTCTATGGGGAGGAGAGAGAAGCTGGAGGTTGACTTAATAATCCATCGTGCTTACTTGATGAAGCCTCATAAAAAGCCCTAAAGTATGTTTGGGAAATGTCCAGGTTGGTGGACGCATGGAGTCGCTGCAAGGTGACAGGTCTGGACAGGGCACAGAAGCTCCAGACCCCTTCCCCATACCTTGCCCCATGTAACTTTTCATCCGGCTGCTCATCTGTGTCCTTTATGATAAGCCACCAAATGTTTTCCTGAGTTTTATGAGTAGTTCTAGCAAACTATTGAACCGAAGAGGGGATCATGGGAATCTCTGATTTATAGACACTTGGCTAGAAGTACAGGTGGTCTGAACTTGCAATTGGTGTCTGAAGCATGGGACCGAGACTTTAACCCATGATGTCTGTGCTAACTCCAGGCAGTAAGTATCAAACTGAGTTAAACGGTAGTGATGCTGGGGTTCTTGTTCACAGAGTGGAAGACTGAACTTTGTGAACACTCAAAGTAGGATAGCAAGTGAGAGAATTTTATTTAGAGATAAAGTAAGTGGAAAGAGCTCTTGGCTTAAGTCGGGAGGGGACAAGAGAGTCCGTGGTTGTGTACTGTCTAGGGGTTTTATAATGTGATAAAGGGCTGGGGGTGTGGACATGTTAAGTGGTCTTAAAATGTTCATCCTTGAAGAGACATTAAGTCTTTTCTCTTATCAGTCTTCCCAATAATTTTGCAAAATTAACATAAGAAATTTATTGCAGATTTCTTTCCTGGAATAATAGCTTTTTGGTCTGGGAGTATATCAATCATCAATCAAGACTGCCTGCCCTGCCCTCAAAGTGGGCTGAGTTACTGTCTGTTTGCCAAGAATTTAAGGGCAATCTAAGATGGACTCTTTCTCGCTTTTACTATGTTGTTTATGGCTGGGCTTGTTTGCCATTATTAATTGCCCAGGTTGCAAATCACCTGATCAGGTCTAAAGGAGGAAAGCAGCACATAGGCCTGGGCCTTTTAGCATGCTAAAGTGAATCTTACACATGATTATAAATGATTAGCATAATAAAAACATGGGCTATGCTGAGATACTTTCCTTTATCTGGGAAATATTAACTGATATCACTGAAGAATGACTCTAGAGCTTAATGCTTAACCCTGAGTTTCGGTAGGGAGTTTCCTTGCATATTGTTACACTGCTCTGACTGTAATTATCTTGCCTTGCCTTTTCCGGAGGCCCTCACCCTACTCTGTCTAAACCCATGGTCCCTGTCTCAGTAGGACACCCAGTAGGTGTCCACCAAGAATTGGAGAATTGCTTGAAAAACCCACACATTTGGTGACGGCAGCGTAGAGCGCATAGAAAAAGTTTTTCTTGGTCACAGAGGATTCAGATCCAGGCTCCACACCCCAGATCAGCGCTGCTCCTCCATGACTTATAGAAGGAAGCAAGTAAATATTATTTTAACGAGTCAACCCTTTCCCCTGTCAATCTGCTTCTGCCTCCACACTGGGGTCTCTGCTGGGTTTCCATTAGGCTCCAGGACCATGTCATTTTCAAAGAAATTTTGTAAAGCAGCAGCACCATTGTTCTGACACAGCCTGATCACCTCTCCCCGCCCAAGCAGTAAAATGACCGATTTTATCCATCGTCCCAGTGTGAAAGGCTGAGATGCAGAATGACGCGGGCTGCCTTTCCTCCCCTTCCTGCATTTAATCCAGTTCTTGGAGATGCCACCTCTCTCCAGAACCAGCTGGCAGCGGTTGTTTGCTTTCCAGGGTTCAGCACTACACATGCAGAGAACTGGATGAATGTGGCTTATTCGAAGTTCCAGCTGAGCTTCAAAAGTGCGCTTCGTGAACTATTTAAATGTTTTCCGAGCAATATTATTTGTGGCACTGGAGATTCATCACAACATAATGCTCGCCATGAGCAGGGTGTATATATGTTTGCTCCTGCTTTTATTAAAAATGCACATACCCATGCACATGTATCTACAGTCTTCAGTGGCAAGTGACAGAACATCTGATTCATAGTGCCTTGAATCTAGCTGGACCAATGGCTTCTATTTGCCTGGGACTGAGGGGTTTTCTAGGACATGAGACTTTCAGGGCTAAAACCGGACAGTCCCAGGATTCAAAATCATGCTGAGCACAGTTTTGAGATGGACAGAGGGTGACGGCCAAGGCCCTCCAGGGCAAGCCCACCACATCTGAATTACATGAAGAGGACTGGCGTGAACTGTACCACAGCCCTTCGGGCAAGGTTATGCGTACTTTTCAGTTCCTTCTCCATACTTGTTTGTATTTTCCAAAATGTCTGCAGTGATCTGGGATGTGTTCTACAATCCGATAAGCATGTTATTTTAACACTTTCATCGAGAGGCATGTAATTGATAAAGGTGTGTGTGTTTTTATTTTTTTTAAGGTTGAACACATTAGGTCCACTTGTCAGATTAACTGCTTGCCCAGTGACATTTTCTCTTTCTTTTTCTCCCTGCTTCTTTCCGAACAGCTAGTGATCATAGGAGATACCATTTGCTGAGCATTTTACTGTGTATGTCCCAGGCATGTGCTCAGCACTGGAACGTGATAATCCTAGGAAGTAGTACCACCATCATTCCCATTTTAAAGATGAGGAAAATGGGACTCAGAGAAGTTAAACCCCCAGCATGTGGCCCCTTTGAATTAGAGCAGTTCCATGCCAATATTCTTGTTTCTAACCACTCCCTGTCTCTCTTTTATTCCTTTTGCCATCTTTCCTTCTTTCACCTTTCAAAAATTATTGACATTAATCAATTAGGTACTTGGATCAGTTCAGTGGCTATAACCCAAGATTTCTCCACTTCAGCATGATTGACATTGTGGACCAGATAATTCGCTAAGGAGGGGGGCTTCCCTGTGCATTTCAAGATGTTCAGCAGCATCCCTGGCCTCTACCTGGTCGATGCCAGTAGCACTCACCCCAACACCCAGTGGTGACAACCAACTGGGGTTGCCAGAGGTACCCGGGGAACAAAACTGCCCTTGCTAAGAGCCACTGGTGTAGCCTGATTTCTGTGCTAGATGTGAAAAAGGATTCCAGAGCCTCTCCAGTTGAATGACTGCAGATAGGAACCCATGGGAACAATTTGTGCCCTTCTGGCAAGGCCCCCAAGCTCACTGGAGGCAGCTGCCACCTGCTAGGACATTCCAGGGCAGGGCTTGACAAATGCTTTGAGTTCCACTGCTTGTCCTGGAGCTGGGATGCTGGCATTGGAGTGGGTAACATGGGTAGCTCTTGGCCAGCAAATGGCAGGCGGCCCCAAGCTGGTCTGTGGATGGCACATCTGAATGGAGGCAGCAGACCAGGTTCTTGATGAGGAGGCTGCGGAAGGAGGCAGAAAGGTCAGTGGACTCAGATCTAAGTCAGTTTCTAGTCCTGGTCCCGCTCCCACTTGCTGTGTGGACTCAGTAGGGTCCTTTGAGAATATGAATGCTTCCCTGTGTCACTTCCTGGGAAGTGACTGGCTGCTCCATCCCCAGCCTGCATTCAGAGCTTCTTGACATTCTACTGTATTCATGTTCACCTGTGTCCCCACCCCTAACCTAAATTTCAGCTCACTAGAGCAGAAAGTGGTGGACATAAATGCTCAATAAACACGTGCAAAATGAAGGCACGCACATGCCCTTGCACACACACACATACACACACACACACACACACACTGCCCCCATGGGGAAGCAATTTGAAACTATGTTTCAATGGCTATAGACATGTCAAGCCCTGTGTACTCAGTGGTTCCACTTCTGAGAATTTATAGCCCCTCATCTCAAATAATCCCACATGAAGAAAAACCCTTATTATGAATCCATATTCATCCTGCAGAGGCTAAAACAGTCTGAAAAACCCACTTAGGTAATCAAGGGCATAATTAAAATAGCCTTGATAAATTGACTTGGTGAAATTCCAGGCAGCAATTGCAAATATTGGTTACAGTAAGATGAGTTAATATTGAAGCACATACACATTAAACTATAGTGCATAATGCAAAATTGTACATGCAGCCCAATTACTGAGATTATAGTGATGAACAGCCTTTCCCATGGTTAGTGGGAATATCATGCACAGCCCTTCCAGAGGGCAATTTGGAAGTTCCTATTAAAATGCAAGTGTTCATGTCACTTGACCCTGTGATTGCATTTCTAGGGATTTATCCCAGAAATGCATTAGGAAACAATCCAGATGTTTAACAATAGAGGAATAGTTAATCTGTGATCAACATATACAGTGTGTATCGTAATAATGGAATACTATGCAGCCATTCAAAATGAGATTCACAGGTACCAATGTGGAAAGATGTCCAAGTATATCATTAAGTTAAAAAAAATTGCAAAAACGTTTTTGTGTAACAATGATGTCACATATGCTAGTATAAGCATAAACATTTAAAAAATTCTGGCTGATTATATGCCAAACCATTCACAATGGTTTTCTCTAAAGGATGGAAGGGGATATTCTCTACCCTGTGAATTTCTGTAATGTCTAACATTTTTTAACATAGCTGATAAAACACGGACCCTGAAACATGGGCTTGCTCATATGAGCAAACAGAAGCTAGGATGTGAAGCCTGGAGGGACTCTATCAAGGACTGATTAATACTGATTGATCATTTCTATGTAGTGGGATAATGGGGAGTTTTGGTTTTTCTTCCTTCAAGGGAAAACTTCTATAAGGCGCATCTGTGACCTTCACCAAAGACAGCCAGTCCTACAAACTCTTGGTTTAAAGTTGGGTGGCACTCAGGGTATAGAATGTTCCATCATTGTAACCTGCTGTTGTGTGGTGTCCTGTTTCCCCAGGATGGATGACATCCAGCTTTGCAATGACATCATGGACCTGAAGCAGGAGCTGCAGAACTTGGTGGCCATCCCAGGTAACCATTTGGGTCTCCACCTCAGTTAGGCAGCTGCTCAGAGCCTCCAGCTGGCCCGGATGTACCCCTCAGGTCTGGACGGCGGAGTCCATCTCTTCTAATGTGGCCTCCTTCTTGCAATATGGCACTCTCTGATCACGTAGTTCAAATACAACTCCAGTCAGGCAGACCCAGGTTCAAGTCCTTATTCTGGCCACCTTCTTAATCTCAGGCAAGTCACTTCATTTCCCTGGGCCTCGATTCCCCTCCTCTAAGTGTGGAGTAGTCATAGAAATAGTACTACTAGGCGTAAATCTCACTGTGATAAAGAGAACAATGCAAGCTATGTGCTTAGCTTGATATCTGGTCCAAAGTGAGAGTCCAGTAGATATTATCAATTATTACTATTATTACCCTGTTTGGGAACAAACAGAGTATCGTGCTTACAGAGTTTTGACTCTGACTTTGGAGTCAAACCTAGATCTGTTGCTTACTAATGACATGACCTTGGGCTAGTTACTTCATTAAAACTCAATTTCTTCATCTGTCAGCTGGGACAGTAGTGGTATCTGCCTCACAAGGTGGTTGCAGGGTTGATGAGGGGAAAACATGCAAGTGCGTAGCACAGCTCCCCTCCTATAGGAAGTGCTTCATTGATTATTGGTATTCTTATTGTTATCATTAACCAAACCAATTTCTACCCACCCTTCAGGTGGTCGTTTATTGGTCCTTTTTCCTAAGCAAGCCTTCCCTGCCCATCTAGGCTGGGTTAGGTACTCTCTGGGAGGGCTCACTCTTATCAATTACTTACCAAATAATTTTGACTCATTTGGATTCCTCTGTAGACTCCATGCTCCCTGAGGGCAGGAATGAGGGCCTAGTAAGTGCTAAGGGAAAGTTTATTAATGAACCCACACAACTCCATCTCAAGAATATTGCCTTGGCCTTAGCAAAGAACAACACAGGCGAGACAAGCACCCCCACTGGCCTTTACTTGAACATTTTTTGCCATTCTACCCTTTCAATAAGTACGTTGCAAGCAGCTGCGCTACTGCAAGGCCTGAGCTAGGTGCTGGGCATGCAGTGATGAAGGGAATTGATTCCTTATTCTAAGGTGCTCACAGGTGGTAGAAGGAGATGGCCTGGCACACAGTGGGTTCTGGTAAGTAGTAGCTCTTACTGAGCTGCAAATACAACACAGTATGCTTTAGAACAGGGACACCAGGAACATTTAGGGCTGGATCATTCTATTGTAGGGGCTGTCCTATGCACTGGGATGTTCAGCAGCCTCTAGAGCACTGGTGGAAATGGGTGGGAGTAGAGGTCTTAGGTTGGCACAGTCACTGGGCTGCATGACTGACCAGGACTGGGATGACAGTGAGGAGAAAAACAAGGCACTCGCTGGAAACATAGAAAATCCAGTCATCAGGATAAATTAATATTTCAGTACAATATTTAAAATATCAAAATGCATGCAAAAAATACTCTGCAATGAACAAAACACCCGAAGTTTAAATAAAAACAAGATCAGTACTGATACTTAATGGGCAGAAGCAAGGGACGCTAAAACTGCAGTGTGGGGACAGTCCTAGGGAAGGTGTCCTGCCCAAAATGCCATTGACTGTCCTGCTGAGAAACTGGGTTCCCACAGGTCATAGGGCCAGTTAGCAGCAAAGCCTGGGTCCTTAACACCAGTCACATTGATTCCCTGGAAACCACTTCACCTCAATCACCTTGGTGCAGAAAATCAGGTATTTCAATTTTCTTTCTTCTGCATTCCTTCTTGCCTTCTCCCACCTTGTTGGGAGTCTTTTTGTGTAATCTCTGGGCCAGGTTTCTGAATGGATTTAACTGAGTTTAGGGTAAAAAAATGATGCTTCCAGCAACACATCAATAAAAATATTAAGGAAAGACAACACTGAAGAAAATCAAGAGAATCTTGTTTCTCCAGCCAGGGTCAGAAAATAATCTACAGGCTCCCCGATGGTCAGTGTGATCAGAGAGGAGGTGTGGGACCTTCTCTGCCCCAAGGGCTTCTCAAGGACAAGCCCAGATGTCACATGCCACCTCCACTGCCACCACCCCCACCTCAGAGCTGGGATGCCAAGACCTGGCTGCAGAGGTTGTTGCACCCGCTCCTTGGATATAAAAATAGTGTCTCCTTTCTATTGTTGTGGGAAAGGATTAACCTAGTGGTTCTCAACCAGGGTTGACTTTGTGCCCCAGGGGATATTGGGCAATGTCAAGGCATTTTTGGTTGTCACAGCTTGGGTGGGGGGCTACTAGTATCTAGTGGGTAGAAGCCAGGGATGCTGCTAAACCTCCCACAGTGCACAGGATGGCCGCCACTACAAAGAACCATCCAGTCTCAAATACCAATAGTGCTAACGTTGAGAAACCTCGAATAAAGGAAAATGCAAAGCTCGTGGGAATACAAATATAACCATAACAACGGCTATCTATGAAACACTTACTGTTTACACACTTATGCTATGAGATTTGCTTTTCCTTCATTACTAAGTATTTCTTTCTTTTGTACATGTTTCTGTGAATATTTAATTTGGAGGGCATTATAATAAGAGCAGCTGACTATTCATGAGCCATTACTGTGTGCCGGGCAATGAGCCTAGTCTTTACTTGGCTGAAAACTTGCAACAGCCTCATGTTATGTGCTGGGAGATCACGTGCTCAGAGAGGCTGAAGAATGTGTCCAGAACCACACAGCTAGGGAGAGGAGAGGCTGGGGCATCAAAGCATGATTGTCTGATTCTACAGTGAGGACTCACAGTGTGACAGGGGGCCATCGGCCAGGAAGACCATTAGGAGGCCATAGCAGAGATGGCCTGGGCTATGGAGGTGTCCTGGAGGACATGAGAAACAAGTTGGAGGGTTACACTGGCAAGCACGTGGAGATTTTAGGAATCAGATGTGTGATGGGAGCAAGCAGGGGTAAAGCTGGAAAACTGGCAGCTCTCATTGACAAGTAGGTGGGTGATATTGGCAAGCAAAGGAGTCACCTCATCAAGCAAGTGGTGGTACATACACACAGGTGCGTACAGCCTGGAGGTGGGTGGTGGTGCCTATAGACAATATGCCCCACATTTGCTATCTTTATCAGTGGGCTGAACAGAGGGGTCTGCCCAAAGTGGGTTTGTTTTGGCCCTCCTCATTTTCTCAATCCTTATGTCCAGCCCTGGCTCTCTTGTTTTCTCTTTGGCATTCTGACCCCCAGGCTGCATCATTACCATTTGCTAAGCACTCACCACAGGCCAAGCTCTATGCTAAGCCATTTACTAATATCATGACCTTTAAGCCTCACCGTGTGTATTTTATGGAAGAAGGAACTGAGGCTCAAAGAGGTCAAGTTGCTTCTCCAAGTTCACCAAGCAAGTAAAATGGTAGAGCTAGGATTCCAACCCTGACCCCTCAGACTCAAGGGCTTTCAACAGTTCCACTCAACTGTTTCTTTGTTGATGTTTTCTTCTTCCCAGAAAAAGAAAAAACCAAGCCACAGAAGCAGAGAGAGGATGAGCTAATCCAGAAGATCCACAAACTGGTGCAGAAGAGAGACTTCCTGGTGGACGATGCAGAGGTGGAACGGTTAAGGTGAGTAGGCTGCATGTACCCGCTATTTTGCCTCTGGTGACCCTAAGCAGAGCTCAGGTGACTTGTTTTCTGACACCTACCATGTACCTTGTGGAAGCACAGGTATCTAGGGTGACTTAAAGGTACAGGATCAGGTGTTTCCCAGCTCAGTGAACCAACAGAGGCTGAGTCATGTAATGGCCTGCTTTCTGCCCCCGGGGTCTCTCCCTAGCCCCAGGAAGACATTTACTGCATCATTGATATGTGTCTCTGCTTCAGAGTGGGATCATACAGCACAATGGATGCACATAATATGCAACGATATATGCACACCACCCATACCTAACACAAAACCCACATGTACCACTCACACATAGCATACAACAGCATACATGCACCATCCCCAAAGCCTGATGCGTGGTCCCAGGCACTTAGCCACTTGCCTGATTTTATAGGTTCCTTAATGCTTTCCTTGCTTACTGTATGTTCCTCTTGTCTTTATACATCTGTCTTCACAGGGAGCAAGAAGAAGACAAGGAAATGGCCGATTTCCTGAGAATCAAATTAAAACCTCTAGATAAAGTAACCAAATCTCCATCCAGTGAGTGCATACATTATTCCTTCTCTTCCTCCAATTCAAGAGAAAAAGAAATGTAAAAGAGGTCTGGGAGCCAGAGAGGGCACAAGAAATGCTTTCTAGAGGTCAAACGTGGGCACCGATGGCAGCTGGCAAGGCCAACCTCATGGGTGTACAACCTGTGAAGCTGCCCCAGGCCCCCTACTTAGAAGGGCACTGTGTTTTCTTTGATGCTCTGCTTTTGCTATCTTGAAATTCTTACTAATTTTGGAAAAAGGAGCCTCATATTTTCATTTTCCACTGGATTCTGAAAACTGTGTAGCTGGTCCTGGCAACCACTGGTGCATTTTGTAGAAGTAGCTGGTTGGCCCCTGAGGCAAGAAGGTGGGGGCTAAGGCTCAGGGAGCTCTGGCCTCTGGTGGAGCTGGAGTCTCTGGGGGACTCTAATTGTCCAGAGGTATGCTTTTCAGAATATTAGCCTTACAAGGTACTCAGAGCAAAAAGGGTTCCAGGTGAAATAAGGGTTCCATTAGAAAATGCTGCGTATTTGACCCTCTATTTAGGAGGGTCCATCTATTAAGAGGGACTCTATTTGGAAGGTCTATTCATATATTAAAGTGATAACAGGGTCTACTGTCAAGGAACTGTCTTCTCTTTGTTGACCCAGTGAGGCTACTTTCAGTTATAAGAAATGGATGCCCAATTCAAACTGGCTGTAGCAAAAAGGGGGTTTTTTGGATGAAGAGCAACAAGAACCAGAGCTTCAGGAACTGGACACTGTTAGAACACTCTTGCTTTCCTTTCATTTCTCATCTCTGCCCCTCTTTGTATGTTGGCTTCATTTTCTCCTATTGCACAGGCCTTCTTCATGGGGCCAGAGAACCATAAAGCTTTGCAGCAGCAGGACAACACCAGGTTCTCTCTCCTGATATCTAAATATGTAAATCTCAGGGAAAGATTCTGATTGGTCTTTTCTTGGATCATGTTCCCACCTCCTAGGACCATCACTGTCATCAAGAGACAGGGACACTGTAATTGGCCAAATCTGTGTCACAAGCCCACTCCTGTAGCAACAGGGACATGAGCTGTTATTAGAGAAGGGACAGGAAATCTTGCTAGAAAGACAAAACCCCAAAGATGCCACTACCTACTACAGCTGCAAATTCAGTTTTCCCTGACTGTCCATGAATATTCCATGAAAACATCATTGTAGAATGTGAGAGAATAAAAAAAGAGAAAGGCCACAATCCCTTCTGCTGTCCCTTAAATCACAAGGCACATAGTCTCTGCCTAAACCTCACTGGACCTTCTCTTCCATGAAAGGCAGATTAGAAAAACTCCACCTAACAGCATGGAGAAAGAGCAAGGAAACTTTCCTTCTGGGTTACAGGTAGCAAAAAAATTCTGACAAGAAATCCAAACATCAAGCCTGCACCATATTCAAGGGCAAAGTATGGGGTCCAAATTTGAGCCACTCATCTAGAATCCCAAATTGAAAAATTAAAACTAATCTAAAACCAATGAAATCTCTGGGACCCCAGCAAAACAAATGCAAAACTTCAGCATTCCACAATATGCAGTCCATAGAAAAATCAACCTCCATGAAGATGAGCTCTCAGTAAAAATTTAAAACCCATGAAGAACTGAACCACCACGAGCAGAGTCAGTAGAGACAACAAAGAGAATTTCCTCCCAAGAACTAGAAATAACAAGACTATCTAAAAGAGACAATAAGTATATTTAATATTTAAAGATAAGAGCAGGAATAAAATCCAAAATGAAATAGCAGTATGCCATGAAAAAAGGAAAGGTAGATTTGCAAACAATTAGACTTCTAAAAGAATGATTGTCACTGAAGTAAAAATGCAGTGGATTAAACACAGAGACACAGCTGAAGGAAGGATTAATAAATTAGAAGACAGAGCTGAGGAAATTATCCAGAAGGCAGCACAAATAGATGAAGAGATGGAAAATAAAAGAGAGAAGTTATGAAACACGGCACATAAAATAAGAAAGTTCAACTTACTTCTAATAGGCATTCCAGAAGGAAAACAGAATTATAGGTGGTGGTATCTGAAAAGGTAATGTATGAGCATTTTCCAGAACAGAAAGACATGAGCCCTCAGACTGAAGTGACTTGAACAAAATTTCCCATTTATCCATTCACCAAATACTTCTTGAATGCCATGTCCTGTGCTAGGCTTGGCATATACAATAGGAAACAGAAATGAATAGGATAAAGGCTAAAAGCTGTGTTTGGAAGCTGAGGATGGAAAGTCATTGACCCACAGTCACTAGAACAGTAAAAATGCATACCAGCTCACCACATGGTCTGTGGAATTGAAGCAAGCCCTGGGATGGGACTGGGGCTGCAGATGATCAGGGCTCTCCTCACCTCACCTCTCCCTCTCTCCTTTTCTCCCCTCACTCCCTCTATGCTCCTACTTTGCTGCAGGCTCCCGAGCAGAGAAGAAAGCAGAGCCCCCACCTAGCAAGCCCACGGTGGCCAAGACCGGGCTGGCACTCATCAAGGACTGCTGCGGGGCCACCCAGTGCAATATCATGTAGCCCCCATGTGTGGTGACCCCGGGGCCATGGGAAAACCCCTCCCACCCTCTTGTCTTCATAGCCTCCTTTTCATTGGGGCCCAAGAGCTCTCCAAGGCAGAAGGGGTTGAAGGCAAGCCCATGACTGCTGCCAGGGGCTATGGGTGCGGCAGGCGGGCCCAGCCGCCCTGTACAGAGTGTAGCAATAGGGAGTTCCTTACTGTCGCATGGCCCTCCCCAGAGCATGCCGAACCCAGGAGTCTGTCTCACTGTTTATCCAACTACCAGGAAAGGTCCTCCCTCAAAAAAGTATATCTCCACTTCTATCTATCCGTATCTAACCCACGGTGTGAATGAACTGGGAGAGGGGCATGATACCCAGGTGTGTATACTTGTGACTTTTCAATACTCTAGCACCATGTTGGACACACCCCCAATCCACTCTCCTAGCTCAGCTGTTAGGCCTGCCCCCGTGGGCACAGCCATGTCCCCCATTTGTCCTCCTGCAGGGTCTGTGCCCTGGAGGGCCCCACACAGCCCACGTGTCTTGGAGACACAGAGGGCCCATCTGTAAAGATTGAACTTGTATGTGGTGTCATGCTCACATCTGCTTTCTCCCTTCCTGTTTCTGGGCACGGTTCACATCAGGGGTGATTCCATTCGCTCTTGGCTCTTCCTTCCCTTCCACCACGTGCGTGGAGCAGAGTTGGGGCTGGTGCTGCGACTGGAGCACATTCCATGCTCAGAGGAGGTGCACAGAGCCAGAGACTCCAACACTGAGAAAAGGCAGATGACAAGAGGGTGCAGAGCAGATGCTGACCTAGGTGTGCTCCACCCACAGGGGGCACTGGAGGGAGAGCCAGCAGGCCGCCGCTCAACAGCCTAACACACAGGCCTCGTTAACAGCAGTGACTGGCAGGAGAGGCAGCCTGACCCAACCGTGTCCCCATCATTCGGTGGTGTATTTGAACCAGCCTAACAATCCCAAGTGTGTAACTTGATGTATGTTTGCTACAGCCAGCTCGGCACAGCCCATGTGACCTCTCTGTACGTGTGTGTGTTGTGACCGGCCTAAGTAGTTAGCATAACTTGAGATTCACTGATGTGCAGTCACCCATTAGAGAAAATAAAAATGGAAACCATGTACACAACATTTTTAAAGTTTTCACTTTTTTCTGGATGATGGAAGTAATCCACGTACATAGTAAATCATTTTAAAAGTATTAAGAGTGTAAGGAAGTTTTTTTGTTTTTTGTTTTTAACGCCATAATTCCTCCAACTAGATACCACCCTGACATTTTGGCATATTTCCTTTTAGTCTTTTTTTTTTTTTAACACATTTCCTTCTCATGATTGGCATCAGATTGTACCATTTTATAACCAGTTTTTTTTTTCCACATAGTATTGTATCACTATCATCCTCGCACATCATTAAAAGTTCTTTGTAACATTAAACACTCTTTGTAAATATATACAGTGGTTGCCTAAGAATCCATCTTGTGGACATACCTCAATTTATCTAACCTTCCTCATTATTGGACATTTAGGCTGTTTCTAGTTTTTCAGGATTATAAATAACGTCATGATAAACATCCTGGGGGATAGAGCTGTGATTAAATTTCTGATTTTTCCTTATGACAAACTCCTAGAAGTAAAGTTCTTGGGCCATTGTTGGGTTGCATTTTTCAAAATATTGTAAGTCAGAAGTTAATCTGAGTGCCTCTCAAGTCACAGCAGCTTTGGAGTTGACACAAATATCTCCGAGGACCCCAGAGTCTCGGGTTCGACAGCCCCTCCCACTCATCTCAGACTTGTTTCTGCTTCTGTTCAAGCTTTGACCAACGCTCTGCTTCCTGCCACCCCGAAACTGAAGAGGTGCCCTTAAGCCACTTCCAGCGCCACCACTCTGGCCTCAGGGGCTGCTGTGTTCTCCTTCGCTGCCTAGACAAAGCATGACGCCAGACTATGAGCTTCCTGGAGCTGCCGTAACACAGTACTTCAACAGTGGTAGCTTTAAACAACAGAAATTTATCTCCTCACAGTTCTGGAGGCCAGATGGCTGAAATCAAAGTGTCAGTAGGGTTCCCTCTGAATGCTCCAGGGAAGAACCCCTCCTTGTCTCTGCCAGCTCCAGAGGGCTCCTGGCATCCTTGGCACTCCTTGACGTCATCTCTCCAAACTCTACCTCCATCTTCACATGGTCCTCTCCTCTTCATGTAAGGGCACCAGGCATTGGATTTAGGGTTCACCCTAAATCCAGGGTGATCTCATCTTGATCCTCACTTCTGGGAAACCCTGTTTCCCAATAAGGTCACATTCTGAGATAGTAAGTAGATGTGAATTTTTGTGGGGGGACACTGCACAGTCACTTCCTACTCTTGCAATAAAATCTCAGGCTGTAAAGAGCCCACCACTCTCCGGACATGGGTCTCGAAGGCCTGACCTCTGACCAGTTGGTGAGCAGTCACTCACAGGTCAGCAAACCGACCTGTCACCTGTTTCTGTAAATGAAGTTTTATTGGAATGCAACCAAGCGCATTTGTGTATGCATTTTCTAGGGCTTCTTCTGCACAACAGCAGAGTTGATTACTATGATAGAGACCATATGGCCTGCAAATCCTAAAATATTTACCTTCTGGCCCTTAAAGAAAAAATTGGCCAAGCCCCATCCTAAACTGCCTCAGCTTCCCCTGTGGGGAAGGACACCATCCACTTGTCCAAGGTTATCCTAGGACTTGTCCTGGACTTCTGTTCCTCCTCACATCCACACAATTGCCAAGTCTTTAGCTTCTACCTCCCAAATTTCTCTAGAATCTGCCCACACTGCCACATGCCCAGTGTAGCCACTACCACCTTTCGCTTGGTCAACTACAGAAGCTTCTTAACTGGCCTCCTGAGCCCTAGTCACTCTCCACACAGTGGCCAAGTGAGTTTCTGAATAATGCAAACATAACTGTCATTCGTCTCTTTCAAACAGTTCCTGTGGCCTTTAGGATGAAACCCCATGTCTTTCCAGTGGTCCCAAACGCCCTCTCAGACCTGGCCCCTCCCTCCATCCTCCCCTCATCCCACCTGCTTGCCTGCATCCCTCTTTGTGCTGGGGCCACAGAAGCCTTCTCTGGATTCTTTGGCTCTTCTGCCATGCTGTCTGTCGGCGCCTCTCCTTGACCATCACACTGCGTCAAGAACTTCTCAGATTCTGTCAGATTCTCAGATACCCTTTCTCTGGTCCATCAGAGCACCACTCTGAAGCCAACTGATCTTCTGAAAGTGCAAGTCTAACCAGGTGTATTGCTTCCCAGTTTCAAACTCTCCTGTCCCTTCCCACCACCCTTGCAGCAAAGGCTTGGGACTTGCGCCTGGTTTTCAAAGCCTTAGGCGCCCCATCTCCACCTCCCTGCTCACTGCTCCTCCATCTTCGTACCCTTGCTCACACCAACATTTAAGGCACAAACTGAATAGGAGCAGCTGGGAGCAGAAGGAACACCAGGCAGTGTCAAGAGGAGCGTGCTCCCCAGCATCCCTCATGACCTGGAGGTCCTATGACCTGAAGAACGTTATGGAAAGGGCCCCCAGGACTTTGCAGTAGGATGCGGCTGGCATGAGCAGTTTCAGCAAGGCTCCAGGGTGGAAGCCAGATGCATCAGGCAGGGACGTGCTCCCTCACCCGCTGTTTCAACAGAGTGAGGGAGGGGTCATCACCCCCCTTTGGCAAGTGGGGAACCAAGGCTCAGAGAGGGGAACTGATCACCAGGTCACACAGCATGAAGTGGGGGAGCTGGGACTTGAGTCCAAGAGCAGGCCCAGGGTGTTTATTTTTCATTTTTAGTCCCAGCACCTTCATTGTCCCAATCCCTATTGAGCTGCTCAATTAGAGGTGACTCATGGCCACACTGGCAGCAGCTGAGCCTCTTATAAAGCTTTTTCCACTCCATTTCCATTGTGGACAGCTCTGAATTGTGGGAGCTCACCAGCTTAGCTCAAATTCTGCTTGGGAAGCAGCAACTCCGAGGTGCCCAATGCCACCAGCCAAGACTCAGATGCCTGCCACTAACAGGACAGCAGGGTGGGCCTCACAGGCTGGTGCCAAATGCTCAGGAAAGCAGGCTGTAGGAACAAACGTCAGGACAGTTTTCTGTTCGTTAATGTGTTTGTTAAATTCTACTAGTGAATGTGGCACAAGGCAGGTAGCAGAGAACACAGAAATGAACCAGGCAGGGAGGGTCCTGCCTTCGTGCAACTTCCCATCTAGTGAGGGAGAGGGACATCAAACAGGAGGGCAGGGCAGGCCTCCCCGCCGCTGTCCATCTGAATAAAACCCACGGACCGGCAGGATTAGTCAAAGGGAAGCAGTCTAGAAAGTGGCAAAGGGCTTCGGCTTGGAGTCAGCCTGCCTGGGTCAAAACCCCAGCGGAAGCCCTCCCTGTGTGAGCATGGGCGATCCCTTTGCCTCTCTGTGCCTCAGCGTCCAGAACTGTACAAGGGGGAGAGCAGCAGGAGCATTAAACAAGGTGACATGCGGGAAAGGTTTACAACAATGCGTGTGGTGAATAATGCACGCAGTGATGTCCTTGTTGTGGACGTCATTGTGACTGACCATATCTGAAGGTAAGAAGCTGTGAAGTCAAAAGGCCACTCAAGCCACACTGCAGTTCCTGGGGGCCCTGGGGCAGGGGAGGAAAGGGTACAACCCACCCCGGTCCTGCCCTCAGAGAGCTGACATTGGGCAGACACATCAACACTCTTCAGTGCGACAAAAGCTGCTGTAACACAGATGTCAGCTGAAGCCCACTGCACATGCTTCCCCAAGACATCTGCCCCCTCACGGGGCTTCTGGTCCCACGGCCACACGGGACCCTGACCGCACCCCCGCCAGCCCTCCACACCTGTCTCCTGCCTTCCCAGAACCTTCCTCTCCCTCTGTTCCTGCCAAGTTCAAGGTGGAACTCTTCCCCATTCACCACAGAACAGCTGCACACAGTGTCAGGACACAGAGCCAACCTTCCAGAAGGCTTCGGGAGGCTGGAGTGGGTGTATCTCACAGCCACACACCAGTGAAGACCGACTATTCCATTCCCCACTTCTACCAGCTCTGCCATCAGCAGCCCCAGGCCTCTTCACCGGCATTTTGCCTCCCACTTTCTTGGAACAATTTGACTCCCTCCAGCCTTTGATGCTAACCTCAACTCCAGGCCCCTTTCCATTTGCAGAGGCCTCAGCTGGGCTGCTAGCCAGCTCCAGGCTCACCTCCCCGCATGAAGATCTATTTCTCTACGGTAAGATTATACGTGGCTCATTGCTCCTCCCACAGGAAAAGCAGCTACATGGGGTTTGGGTTTTGATGAAGTCATGGGCTTCCTCAGTCCCACTTGGAAAGTGGTAAGCAGAGGCTGTGGGCTATGGGGGGGTGCAGGGGATGGCTAATGGAGCCAGGTTCAGGGGCTTTCTGGAGGGAGGACATCTCCACAGTGAGACTGCAGGGAGAGGAGCTGGAGAAGCAGGGCTGGGGGTGGCGTGGGGCCAGGGGGCTGCAGCTCTCTGCAGTGGGAGCTCTGCACTAGGGTCCTCTGGTTGTAAGTAACCAAAACAGAAGCCGAACAGGCAAAAAAATTAGAAAGCCATCCCTGCCTCCTGGGCTGGGTCCAGGGATTCAAATGACATCAGCCTGGGCTCCGTGTTTTTCCATCTTTCTGCCCCATCTCCCTCGCGCTGGCTTTATCATCAGGCAGAGTCTCCTCACATGGCCCGCAGCAGTAGCTCCAGGCTTACATCCTCCCTGGGCCTC